AAGGTAGTAAAAAGATCCATATTATTTCCCCATAAAATTAAAAACGTCCTGCATTATAGAAAGCTACAAAGAAAAAAAGTCTGACCGAGTTCAAATTAATGGTCTAGTCAAAGTTGAAGTTTAACTAGACCAATACAGAACGTTTTTCCAGCCATTCATAGGCGGACTTTCAGGTGCTTTTCGAATCACTGTCCTGCCGCATAACCCAAAACTTCTAGATTGATGATTGGCAGCCTTAATGAGTCTTTGGTACAGGGCAGAAGTCATAACGGGACCTGGACAACTCTTAGCTGTCCAAGTCCAAAGGCAACAAATCAACACCAAATCACCACTCCTAATAACTTAAAATTTTATAAACAAGCCATTCCTCAAGGTTCATACCCGTCCCATGTTTTCACATTTTAAGCAATTAATTTTCCGTACGAGGCAGCAGTTAACAGTTTACAGAGTCCATTCAATTAAATCATACAGACAGATTTATTAAAACTTTACAGTCCAAAGAAACCCGACTGAATGCATAAGAGTCTTTGACTTGGCTGAATCAGCTCCTCTTGGAAGGAACGTAGCGATAGTGGACATTTACTCGATACAGTTCTTTCTTTGCAGCAATTCCTCACACTGAGAATGCATACAGCGACAGTGGAGAGTAAAACTCCCTCTTAAGAGAAATAAACCTCATACAGACCCAGGCTGAACGTGTAAGGCCTTCGCCTGTGGTCGAACGTTGGTTTAAGAAGGAGACAGACACAGAAAGGAAGCACTGTACCTTAAACACTTTCTACGCTAGATAAGGTAACGGTAAACTAGCTCGATAGGTGGCACTGTCTGGAAAAAAAACAGTTAAGGAAATGTCCTCTAAACTGGTTCTCAGTTAAAAAAGATAAAAGGGAAAAAAATATAGTTATTCACATTAAAAACTGACTACATAGATATATGTAGGACAGAAACAGGACTAGACATTGAAAAACAGGCCCGACACTATAATCTATTATGAATATTGTTGACGATAGCAGCCCAGCTGATTCCTCCCTCCTGGAAGGTGTCACAGCTAAGCAGAGTGCCACGCCAGATGTAGCTACTATGACGGGAAAAAGCAGAGAGAAAACATAACATTAAAAGTTGAACTAACAAATAATGCAAACTTGGAGAATAGTGGTTTTTATGTCTTCCAGCGTCCCAAGTCTATAGCAGCATAACCAGCCCCTTTAGGAGATTTATCAAAAGGGAACATTTTAAGTCTACTATTAGAATTAAACATTTAGGGTTCAACCAGACGCTGTGAACAACGTAGAAAAAAAAAAGGACACAACGTTCCATTCTTCACAGTATTATTCAAATAAATATAAACATTGCTGTATGTCTTAATAGTTAATTATTAATGTCTTTAATTAGACATAATATCACATACAGTTCACTATAGCAGCTAGAGAAGGTAGTATAGTTGGGCACAGCTAAAATCTGATATTTAATGATTTTGTCGGGTTGCATGTGAAGCTGCATAACAGAGTAGAGTTATTTAATTTTTAATGTGTGACAGTAGAAAAGTATGGAGGATCAAAATAGTCACTGAAAAAGAAAAGTGGCCGTTTTAAATTGAACATTTAAATCAAATTTGAAAAGTTTTCTAATATAAATTTTAAATTGAAGAGTAATTATGAACTTTATTTATCAATTCATTGTTAAATACTGCAATTTGAAAATGAATTTTTTTGCAGTTTTCTTGCATTTCTTTGCAGTTTTTTTAAGACTCAACTGAAATGCATCTAGTTTTTAACGTCTTTAAGACATGCCTCTATTCTATATAACATGTTTGATTCATCAGGATTTATGGACAATTACAGCCAGTTGAGCTTTTTATGGCTTTCAGGATTTACTCCTTTAAGATTTTGTTTTTCTAATTAGTTGGATTTTGGCTGAGGGCAAGACACTCTGAATGGGGTGTCATTTAGAGAAGCTGCAGAGGTGTGCTAAAGTACAACTTTGCTTACTGCTCTGAACTCTGGGCTCCATTGTTATGGATAATTGTTCTTTACTTGGAGCCCAAATGTCTCAAAAAAAAGCTTCATAACCCTTTGTGGAATGATAGGTGTTTTAGCCTACTGCATGTTGCTTAGTAAATATCTAAATCTGGAAATAATCAAGCATAATACAAACTAGTTTCCCATCATGTAACTAAATACATACTGAATCAGAGAAAAAAAAACACCTGGCTTCCAAGTAAGATACCAAGAAATACCAGAACAGCAAGAAAAACAAGTCAAAATGCATACAAAACTACCCAGTAAAACAAAAGAAAATCTAAATACCAGTACAGTAAATTAAGCAGGCGCAGTAACACCCAGAGTGCAAGTCAAAGCTGTTTGGCAGCAGCCAAACCACAAATGTGTACATTCCTCTGTTGCATAGCGAAGCCCCTTTCCAGGGTGGCATGAGTTGAAGAGCAGCAAGGTTTGAACTGTGGGAAACTTGGGCAACAAGTATGATGACTGCACAACATCCTGCAAGAATGGGCCGAGCAGGATAATTAGGAACCAAGCTGCAGAGCAATACTAACAATATGGCGGCCTGTGCCACTGTACATCAGAAGGGTTTTACTCCTGACGAGTTTAATGCATGAGAAACTTCAGGGATTGAGAGCAAAATATAAACATGAGGTCTACAGGACACCTTCAGGTGTGGTTATCATTGCAAATCAACCTTACACCTTTTTCTCACATTGCAATCACAAGCTAACAGATTTAGGGATTAATTAATCAATTTTCACCTTTTGTGTGCAGCATATATTTAAATGTAGGTCTGTGCAAGTCAGTGTACATGTCAGATGTGCCTAAACTGTTTTCTATCCTTCATGCAAAATAAACAACATGCA